ACATACCAACAAAGATGTTGTGTCCACCGAGAACTAAGAAATAAATATTAAAAATTCTCTCTCTCTCTCTCTCTCTCTCTCTCTCTCTCTCTCTCCTCTCACTCTCTCTTTAAAAAAAAAATCAAGTTAACAGATTGCCTGAAAACACCTATAATGCACTTAATTAACAGAAAAGTTTACAATCTAATAGAATAAAGATATACAAAAAAAAAAGAGGGGAATGTAAAATGGTATAGCCACTGTGGAAAAATATATGGTAGTTTCTCAAAAAATGAAATGGGAGGTCGGCTGGGGTTGTGGCTCAGTGGTAGAGTGCTCGCCTAGCATGCACGAGGCACTGGGTTTGATCCTTAGCACCACATAAATGTAAAATAAAGGTATTGTATCCATCTAAAACTAAAAAAATAAGTATTTTTTTAAAAAATGAAACAGAAAATATGATACCAAAAAAAAAAAAAGAAAAATGAGCAAAGAATACAAACAGGTAAACCAATGACCTGAAAATGTCCAATAAACCCATTAGAAGAAACTCAACCTCACTAACAATTAGGAGAAAATAAATTAAAAGAATCGGGTAATTCCTTTGCCTATTAAATTAGTAAAAATTAAAAAGATGAATACAGGAATTTTTGAAGATGTGAGGAGGTAGGCACTGTCTAGATTATTATTTATCTGTGTCTATGGCAATTTAAGTGGGCTCAGAATATGTCCATCAAGTGCGGACCACTTTTACATTTGTTTTCTAGACTTCTGTATGTGCTCATCCCACAACAAAATGAGTTTTAAAAAAGCCAGCACAGGGCTGGGGTTGTAGCTCAGTGGTAGTGTATTTGCCTTGAATGTATGAGGCACTGGGTTTGATCCTCAGCACCACATAAAAATAAATAAATAAATAAATAAGAATATTGTGTTCATCTAAAATATCTTTTAAAAAATTTTTAAAAAGCCAGCACATCTGGCTCAGGAGGCTAAGACAGGAGGATCGTGAGTTCTAAGCCAGCCTCAGCACAAGTGAGGCGCTAAGCAACTCAGTGAGACCCTGTCTCTAAATAAAATCCAAAATAGGGCTGAGGATGGGGCTCAGTGGTGTAGTGTCCCTGGGTTTAATCCCTATACCGCCCTCGCCCCCAAAAAAAGCCAGCACCACATCCACCTGTAATCTCAGCAGCTTGCAGGGCTGAGGCAGGAGGAACATAAATTCAAAGCCAGCCTCAGCAACTTAGTGAGGCCCAAGCAACTTAGAGAGATCCTTTCTCTAAATAAAATATATAAAAAAGGGCTGCCTCAGAGTTTAAATGTCGTTGGGTTCAATCCCCACTACCAAAAAAAAAAAGCAAGGGAGGCATATTCTTTGACTATGTAATTCTACTTATGGAAATGCTAAGGAAAGGATTAAAACAAAAATGCAAAGCATATCGAAATATTTATTGTGATTTTATCAAGAATTAGGAAATAATAGATGTTTACTAAGGAAAGCATTAACAAATGTGGGCCTGATCATTTAATGGATCAATTTATAGTCATTATCACAATGTTGAAGATCATGTAGTATTATGAAAAACCACTTACATGTAAGTGAAAAAAGACAAACACAAATCAGTATAGACACCATAATTACCACTGAAAAATATATGTATAAAATTTGGTAAAAAACTTTTCCCCTTTCTTTACATCACCCCGATGGAATCAGTCACCAAGTCTTACCAATCCCAGATTTCTAATGTCTCTCTCAACTCACATTCTGGCTTAGCTCAGCTTTTCTCATCACTGCTTTATTGCAGTCACTTCCTAACTGGTCTTCCTGTCAGCTAACAGAGTGTGATCTTTTAAAAAAAAAAAACAGGGCTGGAGATGTGGCTCAGCGGTAGCGCGCTCGCCTGGCATGCGTGCGGCCCGGGTTCGATCCTCAGC